TAAACACTGGATTTGACGAACAAATTACAAACCTTATCAACTGATCATAAGTTTGGATATGTATGTATTTCCAATTTCAAACGCAACATTTAATTTTGTGTCTGTTGGTTAACACCACACTCAGCAACATTTCAGCTATATGGCGGCAGTCTGTAAATAATATAGTACTGGCCAGACAATCCAATGATTGTCATCATGAACATCGATCTACGCCATTGGACACGATGACATGCATCAGTCTGACAACCCGATCCCGTCAATGGCCGCTTACGACAATTGAAATTTAAAAAAGTGTACGAGGGTATAATGTGAAAAACGGGAAAAAGTGTTTCATTGGCCTGAAACATCACATATTTAGCTATAATCTGTTTGGAGTACCCATGTATAAAAAATGAAATCGGCTTATGATCAGTTGACGTTCCCTAGTCTAAACCTTATCAGATCAAACTGTGGGAAGTTCAGTTATTTCAAAGTGTAACGTTTATGGTTAAAGAAGTAAATCGCGCTATTAAAAAGATACTGTCAATTTACGAAACAGCGCCTGGCCGTATATAGACAACATTTACATCCTCAGGGTGCCCGTAAAGCAATATGGTTGATTGTACCGTGAGCCAGGTGTTACCTAGTGGTATTGTATAGGTAAAATGCAGCGAGCGTAACAAGTTGTAGCTATAAAGTTCAGGGACACTTAGCTTGATAAGGTGGCCGAGGAGGGACGTCGCTTTCTCGCCTTCAATTGTGGATAAAGCGATAAAGCGATAACACGAGTCGATAAAGCGATAACTCGAGATGAGAAAGCGAGAGCACGAGACAAGAAAGCGATAGCACGAGACGAGAAAGCGATAACGTGAGATGAGAAAGCGAGAGCACGAGACGAGAAAGCGATGACGCGAGACGAGAATGCGATAGCCCGAGGCGAGAAAGCGATAAGCTGGTTCCCGGCTCCCTATGCGCGTCGTCAACTTGTGATATTAGAGACGGGGCCCAGCTTAAGAAAGAGATAGCCCGAGACGAGAAAGCCAAATGAAATATCGCTTTCTCGTCTCGCGTTATCGCTTAATCGCGGCCGTAAAAGAAGGCTAGAAAGCGATGACCCCCCTCGGCCACCATAACTTGACAATACGACACGTCTCGGAAAGCCCTAATCACAGCGTTCTGTGTTAACAATAAAGCTATGTGCACGCTATTTGTTTCTCGCAGAACGAAATGCATTCATATGCTTAATTTCTTTATCAATACCTTTCTCTAAGGAAATACAGAAGAAGTAGGATAAGGGTGAGAACGTGTAAGCCTGAACGAAATGTTTTCCTATAGCGTTTCCCAACTAATCAACATCATTCATTGTTAAAACATAGATTTATGGTTGACATTAATCATGCTAATCAAAACAAGTTTGGTATAGTATAAAAAAATATATGTAAACACACGCTCCGTGGGCCTGTCTGTTATTTGTTTCCTGTTATGACCTGACAATGAGAGCACCGTGACATTTACAGTCCTAGTTACACTACTCCTGGAAATGTCAATGACTCGTTGCGCCAGATAGAATTCATTGCAGCTCCGCAACACAGACAACAGCTTTACATCAATCAACATATTTTGGTTTGGTTTGGTTTGTTGTTTTACGCCGCACTCAGCAATATTCCAGCTATATGACGGCGGTCTGTAAATGATCGAGTCTGGACCAGACAAGCCAGTGATTGATATCATGAGCATCGATCCACGCAATTGGGATGGATGACACGCTTCAACCAAGTCAGCGAGCTTGACCACCCGATCTCGTTAGTCGCCTCTTACGACAAGCATATAGTCGCCATTTCGACAAGAATGGGTTGCTGAAGACCTATTCTATCCCGGATCTACACGGGTATCAATCGACATGTAGGAGACTTAATATTCAGCGCGATTTCAAACCAGGTCTGAGACTGCTCACTAGCTGCCGTCAGTCAATTTGCTCGCCAACGCAACTAACCGTGACAAGAGACTAGGCTACCGTCTACAAGGACAGCTAAAAACTTGGAGGCAATATTTATTTTACGCATTTTGAACACTGATTGGTTACCCGTGATCTATGAAGATTTCGACAAAGGGCGCATGTTCATTAATTTCTTCACACCGACAAAAAGAACGGCGGAAGCTTATCGGATGTCGTCATTTGGAAATACCCCTGATGGTTATAGTTTAATAAAAAAAAAAAAGAGTATCCCTGCAGTGAAAGCAATTTCGGATTGCGTGGATCATACGATTACTACTCCCTTGTTGTCATCAACGTTTTCTGGTATAACCCTACACTTGTGTATTTGTCGTCATTCACTTGTTGCTCAGTTAATGAATTTATTACAGGTATAATTAGTGGTAGCACTTCTAAAAGCCTTTCGAAGACCTGACTATATAACTGTTTGCAACATCTATTGCTTAAAGCGTTGTTCCGAAAATGTGTTTAAAAAGCGATTTTCCTTGGAACGGTTCTTATACACCTACGAGAACAAATATATATTTATATATAGAGAGATTCACTTATATAATATGTGTGCACGGGTGGCCCAGTTGTCAAAGGCGCCACAATTCTAGAATTCTTTGATCCAGCTTATGCATTTTTATCGTCAGCAGGACACCAATAAATAATTGTTGGGGAAAGATGATCAACCTCCAACATATTGGTTTTCCTCCCAAAACAAAGCTGACACGCCGTGATATACGACATTAAACCAAACACACTCACTCACTAACACAGAGCAAAATCCAACTGACTTACGAGGTTATAACTATTCGACAAGTCACACGTGAATTAGTTGTTTGAACGGTTTGAACAGTATTTCCGATGCATCACTCGGTACTGGAGGAAGGGCCAATGTGGCAAGAGAATCACCTCCTTGGTACCTTTCGGCTCCGCACATCCACGTATGCTCACAACAATGCATCGGTTTTATTGACAATTTGACAACTTTTAACAGAAGCATAAATACAACAAAAATCGTTCAGATAAACTGAGGAGCAAAAGAGTGGATACCGTGTTTATTAAGTCTTTAGTTGCCGTATACGGCGTCATATTAGGTTAGCCGAAAATATTTTTCGGCTAACCTAATATGACACCGTATACGGCAACTAAAGACAACGAATTTATTATGCCGAAAAGTTTACACTATTTGGTATGTTTCTCGCACGTCATGTCAAAACTTATATCTCAAAACTAAACACTTTCAACCTAAGACGTTGATGGTCAAAGGGAGACTATTCTTCAAACCTCAGAGGCCAAACCTTGTTGATAATTTTAACTTTATATAATGTTTATTAAAGTCATGAAGGTGATAAAAAACATTAATTTCCTTACACATCAAAATTAATGATATTAAAACACAAAACAGTGTCGAAAAACGAATTTCTGTACAAGAATTTTCATGTGAAATATGTGAGGTGGGTGTTGGAAAATCCAAAATGGCTGTTACTGACAGTATCGGGTCTCATATTAGGTCAGTAACAACCGTCTTGGATTTTTACTGAATGAATACGGGCTCATGTGGGTTCAGTAGTTCTGCTCTCTGATTGGTCACTCTCACTTTGGGGAATAATAATGTTTTTATGTAGTTGAAAATTGAAAAAAAGGTGTTGTTAAATTTGATTATGTCTCAGTAAAGACAAGGTATCTTAATGGATGACAACTTCTTTATTCTATGATGATGGCAAGTTTTTGTCAACAGTGACTCTTCCTTGGCAACGTTATAAGGATCTATACATAAACGTCGCGTCGTAATCGAATAAAGAAGTTGTCATCCATTAAGATATCTTGTCTTTACTCATACTTATGAACTTCTAAAAATGACAGTCAAACAGTTGATTATGTTTATTTAACCACCACTTATTCCTGCAACAGTTTGTAAAAAGTAATCTGTGTCTGGGTAATTCTGTGTCAAAATATGTTGGTTCTATGAAGATTGAGGTAAGAAATCAATTTAAAACCACATGATCCTTACCGTGTTTGAAATGTTTCAAAGTTTTGCCGATTTTTTTTGGATTGGATGTCTAAGATACCCATCAACAGTTTTGTATTGTGCGAAATTTCTTCTTTTTTATATTTCTTTCAAAGTTTTAAATCAAAATATAATTTAAAAAATAAAACCACGTATAAGTATGCTTTGAGTGCTGGCAAAACAACAGTACAGTTCATTTAAAAAAAATATAATATCGCTAACTTAGATATTTTCAGGGCGGTCGGGTAGCCTAGTGGTTAAAGCGTTCGCTCGTCACGCCGAAGACCCGGGTTCGATTCCCGACATGGGTACAATGTGTGAAGCCCATTTCTGGTGTCCCCCGCCGTGATATTGCTGGAATATTGATAAAAGCGGCGTAAAACCAAACTCACTCACTCACTAGATATGTTCAATTGAAAATCAAATATATGATAAAATCAACTAGGAGGTATAACTTTCCTCAGTTTATATTCGCCACTATTTCTATTCAAGGATCCAACAGCTGAGGATAGAGTTTGGGGTAACCTACCCCTACCCTAACACAACTTATCGAAGAAACACCAGCAAATATGTACTTTTCGATAATATATTTTGAGACATACATGTATCGAGTTGATAATGATTACGATATTAGGTGGCAAACATATTTTATACAATCGCACCTAAACCCATGTATTCTACGGGACAATGAAACATATGTTTATAACTTTGTGTACAGCTACGAATTCCTGTGGTTGTCCGGTTAATCGTTAATCGTATCGAAAATATCCCATCTATTCAAATATATTATGCTATAAACGATCATCGAGTTCCTGTGAGTCTAGGAGACAGACTGTTCCGAAACGGTTGTAAGAACTCATATATCACCCTTGCTGCCGCTCGTAAAATACGAGAATTTTCAAGCTCATTTCTTAAAATCGGTATGATGCACTTACTCGTTAAATTATCTCTATATATGGAGGATTTCTCCAAATGTCCTCGCTTTCGGGCTTTGTCGTTGGACCAATCATGGTTGAGAAAGATCACGTGATTGATGACGTGTTTAACCGGAAGATCAACAATCCGACAGCAACGGACATGTGGCATGTGGCGTCGTTGGCACCAGTCGAGAGAGTGGGCGAGTCGAAATTTGCCAACCAATACCAAATCATGACGTTACGTTCGTGAGAAAAAAAACATTTTCCGAAGAACCAATCAATAGACTGATGCCATTTGTACCAAATCCTCCATTCCCACGTGTATAATGAATTTGACCTCGCTAATGTCAAACCTGCGATAGCAAATTTTTCAGTTCACCTCTCACACAGGCCCCTTACCTCTCACACCCTTTTGATTACCAGATTGTGTTATCGCTGTGATTATGACGAGCTTACAGTAATCCGTTAGGTGCTCCCTCGTTAATACGAGTAACTAAACCCCCGTCATTATGCTAACCCTATTTTTACCGTGTTACAATTTCCATCGTAACAGCCCGGGCGCTTATCTTTAACAGTAACGTTATACTGTTAGTTGACGGGTTTATCTAGAGTGCAAACGATGTTATTATAACCACAAATCGTCATATTGGTGTGCATATGTTCACAAAACAGCACGCCTAGGTAGTATTTACATATATTGTTTCATATTTCACAGTAGATTGAATTTCACATGATTAATATTTAATTATATGAGTAATTCCACTGTACATATCGATTTATGTTTTTATATTTGAGGTAGAGTTATGAAGCCTTTTGGTTGTATGTTGTGCATGAAACCAAACAGTACAATTGCCAGTATTGCAAAAGTTGGTGCGAAGCTAACAAGGAATATTGTAACCTCCTGTGCTCCTTCAAAGTGTTATGGACTGAGTGTGGCAGCTTTAAGTGAAAGTAAAAAAGAATGGCAATCAACACAGTTACAAAAATTCAAAGGTGGACAGAATCGCAGCTACCTTGAACAGTAAGTATATTTACACGCCTCTAGAACATTTGATAACAGATCCGGATTCACTCACCATCACAACAGTTTGTGAGACATCACAATCTAAGAGTATCTGTATGCCTGTTACAAAGAATGTTTGTTAAATGTGTTTATGTGTATTAGGGCTGGGGCGGGTAACTCGGGTCGGGTGGGTCCTGAGTAGGACCTGGGTACCCACAGGATTACCCAGTCATGTGATATATTGTTTAATGACAAGAACACACTTTATAGCTCAGTGGTTACACTACATGTCGCTAATGTTCGCATTTCTTTCTGACGATACACACATTCCTTTTGACTTGCATATGTTTGAGTAAAGATAACGCTTCAGTCAACTTCCCCATTGCATGATCTGATCGTTTGATACATGTATCTAAATAGTTTTTGCCAGGGCTGCGGTAAAACAATTCCCAATAAGACATTTTGTTCCCAACTCTTGAGACCTGCAGTGGGTCGGGTAATAGGGGGTCGGATACCTGGGTAGTAAATTTGGACTAGTCCCAGCCCTAATGTGTATCAATTCCATCATATGGTTTCCTCACCACAAGCATATCTATCTGATTTCTGTATCTTGAAAATGAACAGCCATACATCATGCAAATTAATAAAGGCCATGCTAATAATATATTGTTGTGGGAAATTTGATGCATCCATATGGGTGTACTGTCTAAGGTACATTTGTGTTCTGTGTAGGTAGCCAGAGGACTACCCGGATCAAATGGTTATTTAAGTGATATATTGTTGAATAACCCTAACAGTCAAACTCCATGGTTACACTACAAGTCGCTGAATGTTTGCATTTCTTTCTGACAATGCACACTACCCTTCTGACTGTTATATGTTTGAGTAATGATAAAGCTTCACTCAACTTCAATGTATACATGATCCGGTCTTTTTATGCATGTATTTAGGTAGTTTTTGCCAGTGCTCCGTCAAGACAGTTTCCAATCGGGCATTTTGTACCCAACTCTTGAGACCTACAGCAGGTACTCAGGTAGGGTCAGGTAATAGGGGGTCGGGTACCCATGTATTAAATTTTGACTCGTCCAAGTCCTAGTTCTGTGTGGGTTTCCTTTCGTAAAGTTCAAAAGGTGCCCCAGTACTTTAGATTCTTCTTTGAACCATCAGGATGTGCCGCAATGGGATGGTAAATGTCAAGAAAAATAAACTAGTATTTACAAAAATATAATTCTGCCCATCTCCCCTAGTTCAAAAACTTTGTTATCTATTTCTTGTTGCCCTAATATAGGATGTGTTTTAATAGCACCTACCCTTCATCATACACAATCTTTCTCAACATTATATGGCCTTGTGTTTGTACACAGACCGCTGGGAGGAAAGCAAGACTATCTCAGTGCTTTTCATGTGAAACCCTGTGTTAGCATTGGACCCAAGCAACATTTGCTGGTTGTAAGATGCGGCCTAATGGATTGGGTGGCCAGGCTTGGTGTCATCGGACCCTGATGGTTTGGACTGTTGCTCACAATATCAATCACTGCATGGATTGTCTGATCCAAACTTGATCGTTGACTACCCACTGTTATAGTTGGCTGAAATATTGCGGTGTTAAACATCAAACATGCATACATTAAAGTGAGAAGAAAGCTAGCACTATAAAAATCGGCATTAGTCCGGACTAGTACAAGCACACACACACACACAACATACATACATACATACATACATACATACATATGAAATAATCTTGAATGCAATGATAAATCCCATTTCACCTCACCTTAGCTGTATTGCAGTGTTGACACATTCCCTACACTCAGTATATCCGTGCCTGGAGCTTGGGGAATTCTGTGTGCACACTAAAATGTGCTGTCCGTGGAATGTGAAAGAGTTGTTAAGCTTTTATCAAACATATCAATAAAACAAAATAAATATGTTTAAAAAATGAGTGTATGGACAAGATAGCTATGCATAAAATAGGACAAAACATGACCAACAAAACTTCTACTTTAGTTCACTCAGCATCTGTGTTGATGCAGAGGCAAACTTCTCAGTTTGTTGGATGGTCTTATTCCTTATTCAAGGAGCTGAATTCAAGATCTACGGTAACACATAACTGCAATAATTGTAGCCATTAAAACAAATTGTTTTCCATTGTAGCATGAAGAAGTAATTTACTTGGGGGTGGACCCAACTCCTCCTGCAGTACCCGTTACTGATACCCGACCCCCAGAATGTGTCATCGGTCTATCTCTCCTCCTTCCTCCCCTCCCCTCCATCAGTGACACAACCAAGCTACATGTATATAAGTAGTTAAGTCTTTGCACTGCTGGACAGGTTTTGGTTACACCAGGGTGGATTTCGGTTGTTTTTTCTATGGAGGGTTTCAAGTCCTTGACATCAAGCTGACCTGAAGATTGAAGAAAATGTTCCTGAGAAATAACAGAAGTAGGTTGAATTAAGTTTTCATGTCTTTTGTAACATGTTTATTTTAAATATAGCAATATATTTAATGTTTTAATATTGTACTATTGTCATTAATTTAAAGTTTGTGCACAATTTGTGCACAATTTGTGCATTTGCCAAGTGTTACATGTGATAATTTCAATAAGGTGGAATTCTGTAATCTCTGTATGTCTCTCATCAGTTCATTGCACTGTGAACAATTAATCTACATTTTCAACCTTTTCCCCTGAACCCATCCTGTCAATATTGTCTTATTTTTAAGTACTAAGGGTTTATGATTTGTTAAAGTTAAGACCACACTGATTCTTTACATCTAGGTTTTTGGTTTCATTTGGCAAAAATCTTGGTGCAAGATAAAAATACATTTAAGATTTTGTGAAAATTATGCCACTCTAGCAGTGTTAGTTAAGCTTTTCCCAACATGATTGCAGTGTAGCCTATTGTCTGTACAGTATCTTTGTGGCCAACATACTAGTTGGTTCGAGAGGGATGAAGCGAAATAGTGCCTTTCAATATTGTTTTTCCTTTTATCATTATTTTAAGATCTGCAGAATCCATAAACCAATTAAAAAATAGTTTTTTTCTAATATGAAATAAAATGGTATTGGGTTCATAAAGTTATATATATTTGCCAGTGTTAACAAATATAGCTGACTGCATGAAGTGTATTGACATTCAATCTCTCATGTACTTAATCTTAGATAATGCTAAGATATATGTATTTGACTTCCTGATATTAAACAGATGTTTCATTTGTTTGCAGGTGAACACAGACGTTTGTCAGCTACACCTGGCTGTCTTCTACCTGAATCTCAACCGCTGCTGTCAACATGCCTCAGTATAAGTGGGGCTGTCCTTGTGATGGTCCGACCCATGAAGATCCGGGGTAGAATAGGTCTTCAGCAACCCATGCTTGTCGTAAGAGGCGACTAAAGGGATCAGGTGGTCAGGCTTGCTGACTTGGTTGATGCATGTTATCAATCCCAATTGCATGGATCGATGCTCATGATATCAATCACTGGATTATCTGGTCCAGACTCGATTATTTACAGATCACCGTCATATAGCTGGAATATTGCTGAGTGCGGCGTTAAACCACAAACCAACCAACCAACCAACCTTGTGATGGTCCAAAAAACAAAATGAGCTGATGTGTCAGATGAACTAGCTGACATGTGCAAACAAATAAAAGGATCATTTCTGTGTGTTTGTTATTGATTAGCAAGGGATTCTGATTAAAACTAGATTGGTGAATTATCATTCAAGCTCTATTTGACTGTTAATCGAGAGGATTTACAGTGAATAGTAGAAGTTCAAAAATTACTGTAAGATGGGTCTTTACTGGGCCTTATGGTAAAAATCAGTGGGGACAATTTTCATTTTTTTACCACCTGGGACAACTGATACCCTGTGAATTTACTATTACTTGTATTCCCACCCAAAGTCTTTTGTTGTTGTTTTTTCATTAAATGAAAGGTGTCTTTCTATTGTTCACAGTGAGATAAACAAACACGTTCTTGAAAGTAAGATGTATAAAGCTTTTTTATGTTATTTTGTAAAACCTGTGTGTTTGTTAGAGGAGAGGGTGAGTATTGGGAGCAGAGTTGCTTGTTACTTACAATACCATTGGTTAGGAACCAACTATTGAGAAGTACATGATGACATATAAGTTGTGAGAGTGTTACTGTTAGAGAGGATTTACTGAATGTACATATACTCACTACCAAAAGAAACGTGAGTACACATTGGAAACATGTCTATGTTTTGTGTTTCTTTTGGTGGTGAGCATACATCGGAAACTGTTTGATCCTTTGATGGTAGACCCATGTACTTATTTCTATGTTATTCCGGGTTACACCAGCAGCCTATGCTTGTGGTAAGAGGGGACAGTAGATCCAGTGGTCACACTTGGTGACCTGGTTGATTGCATGTCATCAACCACTGGTTTGTCCTGTCCAGCAGGTCCTGACATGACTATTATCAGTCAGGTGGAATAGTCCTGAATCCAGCATTAAATAAATAAAAGTTTGTCATGACAGAAAGATGCTCCGCTAACTTTTTGTCCCAAATAAGCGTAATTTTAGGGTGCATTTATTTCCCACCAACCCACTTCGGCTGTTGAACTGCCTCCCCAGACATGTCCAACATATTTTTTTCCTGGTGCTTCTGAAAAACAAGCTGTCCCTATTGTCTGCATCAGACTGTATCAGAATATCTGTTTTTTCCAGTGAAGCTAAGATCGACCATGTCCACATGGAGGATTCCCTCTTTGACTACCTGTGTGAGACGCCGGACAAGCTGTCCATCACAAGGTTCAAGACGGTCAGTACATTTCTCATGTCTCATTAATACAGGTCAATGGAGCAATCACTTCATCAGCTAAAATGGGGTTTAATGTCATGTTCAATATTATTGCACTTCTATAGCGATGTGCATGCTATGTCTGTGTCTGTGTGTAGTGCTAGCCCACTGAGTTACCATGCCACCGTTTAACATGACTACCCCACTCAGACACCGTAAACTGACTCCGAGCTGACCAGCCCTTGTTTATGCCCCTTAATGTCAAGCGCCAGGCATGGTAACAACAAGTACCATCTTATATGGTATGATGCGGCGAGGGATCGAATCACTTCATGAATTCATGCTAACACTTTATATACAAATATGATAACTGTACCGATGCTTACAGTTCAACAGACATAACACTGACCCTTTATGAGATGATCAGTACAACTACAAGGCCCAAATTGTGTCTAGGGCAGAAAATATTCGCAGGGTCTTATGCTTGTCCTGGATTTTGGCAACAATGGCACCTAGGTATGGACATCTTCTGGGAAGAACAAAGTTAAGATAGAAGGTAATTATTTGTGTCCACCGCTTTGATCACTGCTCACTATGTCGACTACCGGTGTTCTTGGTCAAGACCAGAGGACTTTACAGACAGCACAGACAAGCTACTTCTCTGTTTCTAACAGGTCTAGCTATCTGTAAATATGGGTAGCCTAGTGGTTAAACAGTTGCCTTGTCCAGCTGTTAGGGCTGGGACGGGTAACTCGGGGACTTGGGTCAGGTGGGTACTGAGTGGGACCCGGGTACCCACAGGACTACAGGACTTTCTGATTAAGTAATGCTTCAGTCAACTTCAGTGTATGCATGACCAGATCGTTTTATACATATATTTAAATACATTTTACCAGGGCTACACTCAAACTATTTCCAATCAGACATTTTGTACAAAACTCTTGAGACCTGAAGCAGGTACCCGGGTAGGGTCAGGTAATAGCGGGGTGGGTACCAAGGTAGTAAATTTGGACTCGTCCAGGCCCCACCAGCTGTAGCTACTTCCTCTTAATCACTTGAAGAATTCCCACTCTTCGACCAGGGGTTGGTTTCGGATGACTCTTGGTCTAAATAGAATGACAGTGATGTTACCGCTACCAAGCCATTGGTAAATACCTCTCAAAAGGTTTCACTCAAAGAAAAAGATAGGAAATGAAAATATGACGTCTGTCCACAAGCGTAAGTTTTCGAGGGCGTGTGAAGGAAAAGCTGTTCCGATATCAAAAGTATTTTATAATGTATTCTATTTGTTTTAAAAATCAGTTGATATATATCTCATTTTATGCGGCAATTGTTAACTATTATAAATAAACAAATATACAAAATCTACTACGAACGCCACAGAAAACTACGATCCGGTAAATTGCACAGGAACTCAGGAAGTGTAAATAAACCTCATCCAGAAGCAAGGAAGACACTTGTAACATATCACCATATTCCCGATGTTCACAAAATATATCTCCAGATTAACTTCATATCTTATAATAAGTCCAGATTAGATTTACTTGCAAAAATGCATGTTCACCGACTGGTGTAAATGCTTTACTATTAGCCAGAAACAAATGACGCCATATTAATGTTTTTATTTCATGTAAATTCGCTACTATTTTGTAATGCTCATAGTTCCAATGAATTAAAAATACACATTAAACTACGAGCGTTGTTCAATGAATTTTCGATGCGTCCGACAATGTGCTTCGAAGGAATCAAAGCTTATTAGTTAATGCCAGTTTGGGGCTAGCAGTGATAATGGGGTTTGCCGGAGCGAGATAAGTTTTTTTCAAAGGGAGGCTACTGTTAAATTCCAAAGCAAAGAGGATGATTGTAATTTTACAATCGTTATTTAATATTACCCGATTAGTTTGATATTTCAGCATACAAATAATTAGGTATTTCAGGTAACAATATAGCTTCCACGAGCATGGTACCAGATATATAGTAGTATATCGTAAACTGTAGTAACGTTTGTAGTTTTCAAAATTGTTTCATCATAGTTTTCTATTTATATCTGATCAATGAAAAACAAACTTTAAACTCTAACCTTGAACGAGGCATGCAACTATTACTATTAAAACAAAACATCACAAACTCTGACATATGTAAATGTATTTTTCATAGAAAAGGACAATAGACCATCTATTTATTTTACTGAATGACACCTTCGACTTTGTTGTCTCGAACTTATCTCCCGACAACTGCCGATATAATCCTTCTTCTTTCTTGGCATTTACGAAGCAAATGATAATTTTATAAAACAAATATTTCATGTAACGGATTTTTATTTTTGTATGATGTTTTCATTGTTGTGTAAATACACAAAAAGTAAGTAGTACCTTCATTTACATTATTATGATTGGGTTTAGGCCCATATCATATAGCTCATTATCAATATTTACACGGCATAAAATAAATAATTGATTAAATGTAGTCATGATTAATACAGACAAAATCTACAGAAGATAACAAATATGTAGTATTGTAGTATGTAGTATATGCGTGATATGTAAAAGAAGCCTAACTGAAACAAAGTTAAACTTACGAAGAAATGGCGAAATCAATGGTAAAAAAAATACACATCTTACAAAAACAATTCTAATATCATACAATATAAGTCACTTTGTACAATGTTTCAAACAATATATGTGGTTGATAATCACAGACAAAATGGATGTACTGTCGTCTGCTATATGGTAATTTAACTTAAAATATGTGACGTAAAATATTGCCTTGCGCCAAAAATCATACCAAAAAAACTACCGATCGTACCTTAATAACTTTGGTACCAAGCCAAAGGGGAAATCGTGATGAATGTAAAACTTTTTAATTCAGGACCGATAATAGGAACACATTCGTCTGAAAACATGCGAAAATTAAGAGTTGGGGTGTAATTATTTCGGGAAAATTCAGATTTAGTCCCATTTCTGGAGTCAAAATCTGAAATTTTGCATCCGCCCTAAATTTGTTAATGGCACCAAGCCAATTTTTAACATATCTCCTTTTTATACACCTTGGTAACCAAGGACTTTCATTGTGAATTAGAGGCCATTATTGAAAATCAAAATCTGCACTTTTGCCGATTTTATATGTGCGCCATTTTGTTCTCTCGGACAAAGACAAAGCGTGATCACAGTCATCAAATACAGTGACAACGACATGCTTTAGGGCACCAACAAATCTCAGTTGTAATGTTAACAATGTTAAGAAATACATGAGTGTAAATATTTATTGTGAAATATATCTTTTGCATGGGGAAAAAAAGGCGACAACGATGACTGCAGTGAACGCGTTTCTGCTCGCTTCCGGACAGGCTGCGCAGTACAAGCCGTAGCACTGATGGTTTCGCGCATAGGCTAGAGGGCCGACCCTCTATTATATGGTCTCTGTTGTCATGTACGCTAAACGGAACAAAATGCACTCACTAACCTTTATGTTTATTCGTGTTCTCTGTATTAGATATCATTCATGTTATCAAACAATGCATATTTTACTGATAAAAGTTTATTATTTACATTAGTAGCTCCGAGTAATAGCCGGGCCTCGCGCCCGTTTGACAAGGGAGAGAACTTCATCGTATCGCGGTACAGAGAAAAGATTGTGTTTCGAGGTTTGAATTGGACAAAAAGAGGACATAATTCTACCAACCACTTGGTATGATCATGCAGGACATCAGTGATTTGTCCAGACAAGTGCAAAGACAGCACAAGTAAAATTCTAAATGTGTTATCAGCAATAGGTATTCAATGCATATTTACCGAAAAGTAAGAGAAAAATATTTTTATAAGTCAATATCAAAATATCAGAAATGATATTTTAAGATTGTTTGAAAAAATTTGGATGACAATAATTTGTCACAAAATGAAAAAATGTTAAAAGTCAACAATAAATATATAAAAAGCACTCCCAGTATGCCCAAAGTATGTATTTATCTTTTGGTTACTAGTGAAGAACGTATTTCTAAGTTTGGCATTATGGCCCTTATGATCTCCCAATAGATTCTGGGCACAGAGCGGGAAAAAATGTGCGGACTACGTAACTTCCGTTACCTCATTAGTCGCCATGAATATGCAGATGATCTAGTTCAGGTCGATAGAGAAAGTTTACTTGGGGAACTGCGGGTTATATCGTTGGCCATTGATAGATGGGGGTAAGGCAATATTACAACAGATGCCAGAAATATGTATCAACGGATTAATAACTCCTTACTTACAGCAGACGGAACATTCCGAGGAAATTGAAATTGTTTATGAAGTGAGCACTTCCTGGTTACTGATTTGCATTAATAGACAGCCACTAAGAGGCGTGTCCCGCGTGAACCACCGGAAATCACAAATGCCGCGATACGATGAATGATGCGGTACCATGGGGTCCGAGTATACTAGCCTATCAAAGGAATCAGGCAATGCAGTCACAACTGGTTCACAACATTATTTCTGAGACTTGAATGGAAACCATGTAAGTTATTCTTTTGGGTTTGACCTGGTATACTTCTGTAGAAATATGTTTACTAACAATGTGTCTACATTTGGTGTTTGTTCCCCCAAAAGCCTTGACCTACATTCTGAAGTTGGATAATGATTACTATACAGGGTCAGTGACCATGAAAAAAGATTTGAAGACCTCCCTAGCTATGACCTTGAACCGAGTACTGGTACATGTAATACAATCCAAGAGTAAGTACCCACTGAGGGTTTGTCCCACGGGCAAAAAAAGAAAACAGATATACAGCCATCATATTAGGCCCTTTATTTCTACTTCTTAGTTTTAAAGATTTACAGTGTAATTTGCCAAACAACTAGTTGGTGGTCAAAATATTGGTCAAAGTGTTAATTAAAATGAAATTTTGAAGCATGTTTTTTTGTAAGTCCTCACTATCCCGGCATTTTCGGGGCATTCCTAGAGGCCCTCTGTCAAATCCAATGTCTGTAAGAAAAAAACCAAAATTGAATTCAAAATGTCACAAGTTTTCCTTATGTTTAAGCTTT